ATAAAGGTAAAGATGTTTACACATAAACATGAACCGAGTCTTGGGTTCTTTGTTTGTAAATAAATTATCATTATCAGCAGTTCATGTAATTTGATTTATTACGGATTTCAACTATACTAGGATATAAATTTGGTTCACGGTTCCAAGCCTCGCAGTAAATATTCATGTTGAATCTGATATATTTTTAAGAAAGATACATCACTTGATAATTTCCAAAAAGTATCCCAAGATTATAGACATCGGAAGCTTTATCTCGTTTATATAAAAATGGATTTGGGATATAACGTTGAGTCCTGAATAATTAGCATAGTTATTATATTTAAAACAATATATAGTTACAATAATATCGGGACGTATATCTAGAGTATTACATATGGTATTAGCATTTTCAGTAATTCGAAAGTATTACATCTACGTATTATATCTGAACTGTATATATTATCTACATTATTAACATCGATCTATCGCGATTGCACCATTTTTTATATTATAATTACAGTCAAACCTACACCTTTTGTTTGAAGAATTTGGCGCTTATAGAGAGTTTGTGCTTATATAGAGGTTAAATTTTATATGTGTTATATTAAGTTGGTTTTAAATCTTTATGTTATTATAAGTAAATGTGATTATAGAAGGGTGACTATAGAGAGGTCTGATTGTATGCAATTAATATTACTAATATAATTATAAATCGCTTTTTGTTCGCCTGTAATTAATAATCTTATCTGAAAAGAACTTTTGCCAATATTCCTTTGTATTTTTAGGACATCAGGGTAAATGTTCGCAAGATGAGCTTCCATTTCTGCAGGACGTCCATAGTTTCAATATTTTGATAATAATGACAAGTTGCGCTCGATCACTAGTAACATTATTTGTTATATGAGTGTCGCCAAAAGAAAACATACACATTTATATATAGGCCATGTTTAAATGTGTATGTTTCTTTTGACGACACTCATATGATAATCACAAATTTTCTTTTGGCGACACTCATATGATAATCACAAATTTTCTTTTGGCGACACTCATATGATAATCACAAACCTTTTCTTTTTGGTGACCTGCACTTTTTCATTTCAGTGTTCTGTTTTGTTTTTCTGAATTATTTTAGTTTGAGACAGTTAAAATTTGTAGAGATTGATTCATCGATCATATTAGTTCAAAGGAGATTTCAATATAATAAAGATAATTTGCTGTATTATAGATAGTTTAAATAGATTATATGATATATCAATGAACAATTTTGTAATTACTAAGCAAAAATGTTTTGTAAATTATTTTAGCGTTTAAATTTAATTAAGTTGGCAACGCTACGGTTGATGAACCTAAACACACTACAGTATTAAATCCAGTTCTTTTATTATTAAAGAATTTGTACTTATTCAAATTGCGCAGATAGCAATAAAGTTTATTTAAAACTAATGTACACGTAATAAAAGAGTTTTAAGCGAAAGCATTTCTAGTACCTTCAATCTACTAGTGCTTGGATCCGGTTTATAGAAACCGGATATATCCAGATATAAAGAGGATAACGGATATTTATTTGAAAAAAAGGATTACAAATCCGGATATTTTTTAAAAAATTTCAAATCCGGTTTTTATCCGGATATAATTTATGTAATTAGCGCGATAATCTAATTTTATCTTTTCCCGAGTCCTAACAGTTATTAAATATCGCATTGCAGACAGTTATTTTCATCATAGAATTTAATGATTCATAGTTATTTATCATGCGGTATTCTCTAACAGCTAAATATTTTGGTACGTACAGTGTTTTCAGTTAGAGATCAAAATAATCATAATGCCGCTAATACCACTTTTACTCTAATACAGGGTTTCACTCTGACCCTAATGAAATTTAGGATTGAAATTTTGATCTGGCACAAATTTCAAAAAAAATTCAATAATTTAATGCGTCGTGACTCACTTATTTTAATTTTTTAAAAGCCCTTGATTTTCGGCATTTTGTTTATTTCAGAATGATCGATTTACTAAAAGTATTTCAAATACTGTTAGTGAACCAGTTTTAATCGTGCCCCATACATATAATCAATCAAATATCAGTTCATTGTAAATACATACTTGAACATCCGCTTATTGTAAATAAGCTGAAACCATATAAGTTTAGACACTAATAATAAAATATATCTCAAATTCAAACAATAAAGATAATTGATTAGTAATTATAATCAAAATTTTTTTTATTGAAATTTAAAACCTACTGTCCTATCTATTTTGAATAGAGTTAATGCTTTGTTATTAGATCTATTTAAAGTTTGATATTTCAGATATTCCAAAAAACATTATCTAACCAAATTTTTTAACAAAATGATGAATGTTAAAAAATGAAAATCTAAAGACCATATAGACTCCAATACATTATCAAATTCCAATACCAATCCTGAGGATAATGATACTTCTGATGAATCATTAAGTGGTGATAATATTAGTGTAAACAATACAGATGATTCTAACAAAACTAATGATACTGACCATTCTAATAATCTAAACTGTTCTAATAAAAAGCCTTATACTAAAATACGAAAAAATTCCAGTTGGGTTTGGCAGCATTTTCGCAAAAGACATCTGTCACAAAAATGGAAAACACATGAAAATTGCACTGTAATTATAAAAAGTAAAAAGGTACCTAATGGACAATGGAAATGTGAACAGTTAGTTAAGACTTAAAGTTCAACTAGTAACTTTTAAACATATTTAAATATACATAGAATTACTAAACCTGTCAAAACTATTGAGGTAATTGGACAGCCAACAATTACCGAAATGTTTCATCATGCTGCTAGACAAAATACTCATCAAAAAGAATCTATTGATCATGCTTTGGTAGAATGAATAGTTACAAATTTGCAACCTCTTTATGTTTTAAAAAGCGAAAGCTTTATTAAATTTATTTATGCATTAAATCTGTATTATGAACTTTCATCTGATAAACATGTAAAAGCACTAATTCATCAAAGCTATAATAGTTTAGTAGAATCCCTTAAAACTTTTCTAGCAACAGAAATTAAAACATGTGGATTAACATGCGATCTATGGATCGCATATTCTAAAAGTGGATATATAGACATTACATGACATTTTATTACCTCTAATTTTGAATTAAAAGAAGTTATACTTGCATTAAATATATTCCATATCCTTATGATGCTATAAGTATTAAAACTGAAGTAATCAATAACTGGGGCTTTCTGAAAAGATAATTTCAATTACCATTGACAATGCCGCCAATATGATTAAAGCTATTAATTTAATAGGTATAGAGCAGATTTCTTGTACAGCTCATATAATTCAACTTGCTATTGGTAAAGGGTTAAAACCTGCAGAAGTTTTAATAAAACATGCAAAAAGGTTAATTAACTTTTTAATTACACTTAAATAAAATAAGCAATTGCGAAAAGCACAAGAATTATTAAAAATTTTAAAAGAAAGAATTGATAATAATGAACAAGAGTTTCTTTGTGCAATATCTAATACTCCAACACATTAGCATTTTTTATATATTGCATAGAAACGGTTTCTCCAAATTAAACATGCTATTAAATTAATGGAAGCAACTATGAATGCAGATAGTGATTATAATATTCATAAAAATGCAATTCGTCCAAAATCCTTAATGATTACAAAAGAAGAGTAGAGAGTTTTTAAAGAATTAACTGTAATTTTGGCTTTTTTTTGCTAAAATTACAAAATTGTTAGAAGGTAGTAATTATTCCATGCTTAGTTTTATGTAGCCAGCTATTGTCACTCTTACTAGAAATTGTATATCATTGTCAGTAAGTATAAATAATAAGAAACTTGATTTAACAAATATGTTAACTATTTTTGAAGAAAAGGAAGAAGAGGATATAGTCAATGTAAATGAAGAATTAGAAATAATTACTATAGCTAAAAGAGATAAGTTTAAATTTAGTCAACCTTAAGATACAGATAATCTCATTGAAAAGGTAAAAGGAAGTTTATACAAAGCACTAGACTATTATTGGAATATACCTCTCAATTGTTCTTTAATTGCAATATTACTCAATTTGTATTGTAAGTTAATGAAAAAATTAGATAGTTGGGAATGTGATAAGGCTATTAATCTTTTGTGAGAAAAATATGATACACTAAATATTAAAAATGAAAGTATTACTAACTTAGTAAACGTAGAACAAAATAAAAATCAAATGAATCTTTTTTTAATAATGTTTGGATCAGATACAATGCCAAATAAAAATGAAATAGATGAATATCTTAAACTTGATCAAATGCTGACTACAACCAATCCACTTAATTGGTAGAAAGATATTCAAGAAAAATTTCTAGTTCTTGCCAATTTGATATGCAAATATTTGGCTATACCTTTACATCAATATCTAGTGAATGCTTATTCTCAAGCACAGGTAATTTAATAACAGAAAAGTATACATTAATTAATACTAGCTTATTTGAAAAAAATCTTTTTTTTAAAAAAATAATAGCATTTTGGGTACTATATTTGAGTTATGATTAAAATAATATCTATTGTAAGAGATACTAGGCACTATTTTGACTATTTACTTTTTTTTTTTTGGTTTTAAGGTGACCTCTTGGTCAATTCTCTTTATTCAGTTAT